CAATATAAGGCCTTCTCTTGAACCATTTTGATTTATTTCTTAGTTGTTTCTCTTTTTTCTGATTATGATTTGAGAATGTGATTTCTTGTAAAGCCATATTTGCTCCCTCTAGTATAGAGTAGAAGTAGATGTAACATAAAATCTATTGTATTGACAATAAAAAAATTATAGTTGATGTAAGACCCATTTCGAGGAAGTGGGTGGTAGCTTAAAGCTTGCCTAATATGCTAAAAATAATTAGTTGTAATTTCTGATTCTTTAGTATAGTAATGGATTATGCTATTTTGTTCATTTTAAAGAAAAATATATGATGTAATGATTCTGTACAGTTCAATTCTCTTGGCCGTTATCTACTACTCACAAGTTCCTATTCGTCCTACATTGTCTTCATTGAATGCATTTACGACTAGCCTCAACTAGATATATACAACTAATCGTGTTTGGAATAATTAATTTACTATTAGTTTGATGTGGGATATTCAAATTTTTAGTTTACTTTTGAACTATTGTTACAAGTTTTAAAGAGCATGTATAACAAATACTATTAGGAATAGTTGTAGATATACTACAAATACTTGTACAATTCGTTTTGAAAATCTAAGTAGCATAAAATGTGTTACTTTTTAAGTAAAACGGCATGGTATTAATCATTATTTTAAAAAAATCATTATTTTGCTCTGCTAAATAGAGTACGCTACATTATGCAGCATTAGGAAGTTGAACTCTTTACATGTAACTTATAATAAAAGACATGAATAAGAGACATGAATGGTTGCAACTTATAATAACATCATGTAACTACTTTACATGTAAGATGCGTTTTGGATGAAGAAGTATGTGAAATATTATAAAGATTTTACACTGACAGATACAATTTATTGGACTTATTTATTTCCTTGTTGAATTTATGCTCTTGATCATAGGGACTATTGACTATGATCATGCATGTCTATATATATGCACACACTGGTTATGTACCTCGGAAGAAGTTTAAGTTGGACATGAACTTGTATATCAGGTTTATGCCTATTACTGTATCACAGAGTAAAACTTTTGCAAATGTGTGCATGAAGTCAAAATACCACATTGTGTCCATATTTATTGCAATACTAGCATGCAAGCTGAAGTGCAAGGAGACATATTAAAACCCATTACAGTCAACCTTTAAGAAAAATGTTGTTTTACATAGCTTTATATCCATCTAACACTTTTGCATGTCTTCTAAATCCTCTTTTGGCTTCTTGGTTCTTTATAAGTATACTACTTTTAACTACATTGAAATTATATCAAACAAAAAATCCCTTCTCTACTATGCAGAAGTATCAAACTAGACTATTTACAAAGAAAATAAATACATGCAATTAAAGAGCCTAGTGACATCCCTCGTGACAGTTCTTTTCCTATTAGAACAACAACAGACTCTGTCCATTCCCTCGTGACATCCACTTGATTCTTCATCAAAATTTTGAAGCTTGTCTTCCCTTCATCTTTCTTTATTTATCTTAAAGCTTTTCTAATCGGTTGTTGGTACAATTTGGGAGTTCTTATCTGTCCAAACTCATTGAAACCGTATAGACTTAAGTTTTGCCTTGTTTATGTTTGTTAATATGCCTCAATAAGAAAAATAATTTGCTATTGGTCCTATAACCTTTTGGGTTCTCCACGTATGTTAAGGACAACACCCAAACCTTTTGTCCTACTTTATTCATCACTTGTTTTTCCTTTCATTACCTCCAACCCATCAAAGGCACAGAAGATCAGTAGAGAAGCTTCATCTTCAACTTATGGACTGATCACTTTGTGAACCCGATCGCTACAACCTCTATGGCTGCCATGGTTGCCCAGCCACCTCCGAATGGTGGGCAACCTCCTTCTACGTCACCTGGGTTTATCAAGAAAACATTCTCCGAGCTATTCTCATCCGTTTCAGCGCCTTTCCCCAGCCTTCAGGTTAAAGCAACGTCTATGACCCATTGTGGAGAGCCGGCCATATCTTTTTCTACAGCAGCTATGGAGTCCATAGCGACTCCCTTTCGATTCTCGCTGGTCGAAAAGTTCTCCAAACAGCGGTCAGCAATGGAGGCTGTGCGCAAATTCTTTACGTCACTCGACTTGCATGACTCGTTTTCCATTGGGCTGCTTGACGCTCGGCATGTCCTGATCAGGTTGCACAACGAGGCAGATTTCTTATGGGTTTGGACAAGAAGTATTTGGTATGTGGTTGGGTGTCCAATGCGTGTCTTCAAATGGTCTACAAGTTTTCATGTTGACAGGGAATCTTCATTCGCTCCAGTTTGGTTCAATCTGGCCAAGCTTCCAGTCCACCTATTTGATAAACATTGTTTGTTTCAGATTGTTTCATGTTTGGGACGACCTCTCTTCGTCGATTCTGCAATGGCTAATCTCACCGGTCTTAGTGTAGCGAGAGTATGTGTTGAGATTGACTTGTTAAAGGAATTACCATCCGGTATATAACTACAACTAGGTGAGGGCCTGGGTTTTTGTCAGCCATTGTTACATGAGTACATGCCGAGCTATTGCTCCCACTGCTATCGCCAGGGGCATGAAGAGGCCAAATGCCACGTTAAAAAGCCAGAGCTCCGGTCCAAGGGGTTATCAGAATCTGATCCATGCATACAATGGAAGGAGATAGCTAAGCAGACCGGCTCAGCTCTTGCTGCTAAGGATATGGCACATTCTTCAGCAAAACCCGTGGTGACCTCTTCTATGGAGGATCAGTGTGGGGTGGTCTCGTTGCCTCTTGTGATGACAACGGAGCCTGCTGGGCAGCTACAAGAAGATGAGGAGATGTTGGTAGAATCGTCATCCGCTACTGCTTCAGCAGCTTTGGAGCTGCCTGTCGCGAAAAGTCCCGATTAGACGCATGACTTGGTACTTCCTCACTTAGGCACGGTTCAGGTGCGTACTGGGGATGCTACGTCTCCTACCCCAACTATGGGTGACATCCTCTTACACAAGGAGGTAGAGCTGCCGCTGCCATCAGAACCTGTAGGCTTTGCTGTGGCTCCCGTTCTTGCTACTGAACAGGCCACTAGTTGGGAGGTTGTCCTTCCGTTTCCAGTTTCCCTACCCTCTATGGTTGATGGTGCGTTGAAGGCGGCGGCTACTAGTATCATCCATGACATGGTTGATCGGGTAGTGGAGGAAGACTCTCAAGCAACGAAGGATGGTGATGACGACTTCGAAGGAACAGACTATTCTTCGCCTGAAGAACCCATTAGCGCGGGCTGTTTGTCTCCTCGATAGTGCATTTTTTTGGAATATTCGAGGGATTTCTAGATCTCCAAATTTACGAAAGCTCAAAAAATTAATTTTGTTACACAAGTTGTCGGTGATTGGGATCTGTGAGCCTAAACTCTCGACAAGAGACATGGAATCAATTCGTGTGCTTTTGAATTTTGATCATGTGATTTCTAACCCGTCAAGGGATCTTTGGGTTTTCTTTAGATTTCCTTTTACTTCCATGGTTGTTGGGGAGTCTGACCAACACTTGTCCATCTCATTTTGTTATACCCATCGATCCTGTCCTTTTATTGTTTCCTTTGTTCATGCTAAATGTACTGCTGCGGAAAGGAGGAGGTTATGGCCTACTTTACTTCGCGACAAACCTTGTCACGAGCCATGGTATATTGTGACGGATTTTAACCTTATTTTATCTCCGAATGAGAAGAACGGAGGTCAGCTGTTTCAGCCATCTCAGGGCTTGGAGCTTTCCCAATTCATGGGAGAAGTTGGTGTGCTTGATGCAGGGTTCTCTGGGTCCAGCTTCACTTGGTGTAATAATAGACATGGGCGAGTAAGAATCTGAAAGCGCCTAGATCGGGTTTTACTTAACACTTAACAATGCGTGTTTAAACGATTCAACCTCGATAGTTGTCTCCCACTTGGTGCGAGAGCCCTCTGACCATGGCCTACTTCTCCTTTCCTTCTCTACCAGGCTGGACAATAAGTCTCGCACTTTTATATTCCTTAACGTGTGGACATCTAAGGATAGTCTGTTAGATGTAGTAAAGATTGCTTGGCAAGATGATGTCAGTGGCTCTCCGTTTTATCGCATATGGGCCAAACTGAAGAGAGTCTCTCATGCTATTCAACAATGGAATAAGGAGACGTTTGAAGATGTTTTTCTCAACGTGAAGACGGCCGAGGCAGCGGTGGCCCGGGCTGAGCTTCAGATCGAGGTAGATAGCTCGGAGGAGAATTTTGTTGAGTTGAAACGGGTACAAGCTGAATTGCGGAGGGTCCTGACCGTAGAGGAACAATTCTGGAAACAAAAAGCCAGGGTTAAGTGGCTCCAGCACGGGGATAATAATTCTAGATTTTTCCATTCAGTGGTGAAACAGCGAAGATATCGGGCAGCAATTCACATCATTCGAGACTCCCAGGGCACTTGGATTACTGATGATGGCACAATCGGGATGGAAGACGTGAAGTTTTTTGATGATTTATTATCGGCGGAGTTTTCTTCAGACTTTAGACTGGTCCATGTTATTCCTAACTTGAGTTCCGAAATTGATAATAGCTGTTTGGAAGAGGCCCATTCTTTCGACGAGGTTACGAGAGTGGTCTTCTCTATGGATGGTGATAGTGTAGCAGGCCCAGATGGCTTCACTGGAAAGTTCTTTACATTTGCTTGGGAGGTGGTCGATTCTGATATCTTTCAAGCGATTCTCAGTTTCTTTTTTGGAGCTGAACTTTCTCGATTTGTCATAGCTACCTCAATTGTTCTCATTCCAAAGGTCCTAAATCCGCATTCCTTCTTTCAATTTCGTCCTATCAGTGCATGCAACTTTTTGAATAAAGTCATCTCTCGAGTTTTGGTCAGCCGATTAACTCCGATTTTGCCTCGGATTATTTCTCCTCAGCAAAGTGATTTTGTTTAGGGTCGGACTCTGTCGGACAACTTTCTCCTAGCTCAAGAGTTGATTATAGATATTGAAAAAAAATGTAGGGGACGGAATGTAGTGCTTAAACTGGACATGGCGAAGGCGTATGATAGGATGTCATGGGTGTTTATTATTAGAGTGTTGCGCCGCTTTGCATTTGGAAAAAGGTTTATCGATATAGTGTGGCGATTGTTATCAAATGTCTGGTTCTCAGTGCTTGTTAATGGAGTTCCATATGGCTTCTTCAAGTCTAGCCGGGGCCTTCAACAGGGCAATTCCTTGTCGCCGGCCTTATTTATTATTGGAGCTGAGGTTTTGTCCAGAGGATTGAATTTATTATATTTCCAATCGAATTTTGTGGGTTATAAAGTGCCAAGACACTGTCCTACCATCTCTCATTTAGCCTTTGCGGATGACATAATAATCTTTGCCAATGGGTCGGCCTCTTCGTTAAAGAAAATTATGCTAGTGTTAGAGCTATATCAAAAGGCATTGGGTCAATTGATGAACACTAGTAAGAGTGGGTTCCTGCTTCATCCAAGTGTCCTAATGGCTCGTCAGGGTATCATCGAACGAGTTACAAAATTTTCGAGAAGAGGGTTCCCCATTCGATATTTGGAACTTCCATTGTATACCGGCAAGTGTAAGGGATCTTATTTTGCGGATCTGAGCCAGCGAATGGTTGATAAAGTCCTCTCCTGGAAAATTCGGCTCTTGTTATCGGGTTGGAAGATCATTTTGATTAAGCACGTGCTTTCGAGTATCCCCATCTACCTCTTGGCTGCAGGGGTCATGCCAAAAAATATATTTCATATGACTGAGCAGGTATGTGCAAATTTCTTGTGGGGGACGACTAAAGAGTCTAGAAGGTTTCATTGGGTGGGATGGAGAGACTTATGCTTCCCACTAGAGGAGGGTGGCATTGGATTTCGGTCGATTGATGACACTTATAGAGCTTTCTCCTGCAAGTTGCGGTGGACCTTTAGGCAGAATCTCTCACTGTGGGCTATGTTCATGCGAGCCAAATATTGTCATGATACTCACCCTTATCAGGTTGCCCTGAGATCTCCTAGTTCAGTAACATGGCTCCGCATGTTGGACATTAGGGAATTTGTGGAGTTATTTATACTTTGGAGACCTTATAGTGATTTTTGCCACTTCTGGTATGACAACTGGACGGTGTCAGGTGCATTATATCTTCGAGCGGATGTGCAGGATCATTTGTCCTTCCATGACTTTATTGTGTGCGGGACATGGGATAGCCGCTTGTTGTCTCATGTCATTCTGCTTGATTTAGTCCAGGTTGTGGTGAGCATGCCGATCCCTTGTATTTCTTCGGTGCACAAGATGGTATGGACGACGTCATCTTCTGGGAGTTTCTCATTATCCTCAACCCTCCAAGAGCTGCGACAGGCTAAACCCTCATCCTTCATGCTCAGTCAGGTTTGGCATCCGCACATCCCTCTAAAAATTTCCTTCATGATGCGTTTGTTGCGGGGACGGTTGCCTTTGGATGATATTTTAACCTGGTATTGTGTTCACTTATCGTCTAAATGCTTTTGCTGTTTGGAGCCTAGTGTTGAAATGCTACAGCACGTATTCATATCGGGTGATGTCGCAAAGGTAGTTTGGAAAGTTTTTTGGGCCTCTCGGATCTCTCTCTGGTCTTAACTTGGCGCAGGAGCATTTAATCGTACAGTTGACAAATTGGTGGTAGAAGCCTACTAAGTCCGCAAGGATAAAATTTGTCTTTCAGCTCCTACCCGTATTTGTGTGTTGAAATTTGTGGAAGACGAGGAATTCAGCAGTGTTTGAAGGGGTTATCAAGGATGTTCGATCTATTTGTCGAGCTATTTTTCAAAACTTGAAAGACGCATACTGGATGAAATTTGGGGTATTACAACAGGTCGCATCTTGGCCCCAATTCTTGGGTTTGATGGAGCAACGCCCTGATATGGTTAAGTTTCGTCTAGTTCATTGGTAGACTCCACGGCTGTCAATGTTTAAACTTAACATAGATGGGTGCTCCAAAGGAAACCCGGGGTTGAGTGGTGGTGGGGGGATTCTTAAGGATGGCTCAGGGAAGTTCATCTTCGCTTTCGCTGGTTGCTTTGATGTTGCTACTAGCTTGCAGGCGAGGCCAAAGCGTTAGTGCTTGGGCTGAGTTTATGTGCCCAAAGGAATTTTTTACAGCAATTGATGGTTGAGTCGGATTCACTAGTGTTAATAAAGATTCTGAGGAACGATGACCAATGCCCATGGACGATTAGTTATGAGATCGAGCAGTGTTGCGAGTTCTCTCAGGGGAGTATACAGTTCAAGCATTGCTATCGCGAGGCCAATAAGGTTGCGGATGTTCTAGCCAATGTAGGGTGTGCCTTGGTTGAATCGGTATGTATTTATGAACATTTCAGGGACTTACCATGTGTAGTTAGGGGTGAATATCGGTTGGATAAACTATCCTACCCGTTTATTCGGCGACGTCAAGTTAAGTAAGTAGGTGTCTTGTACTTGTCTTGTATCGTTGAGGTCAGGCTTCTGTCCCCCTCAAGAACTATTCTGAGGCAATAAAATCCAAGCATCTTGGTTTAAAAAAAAAAATTAACCCAAATCATATTTAGTACCACTCTTACCTTAGTTCTATTTTTATAGCTTTAGGAATTTTGGTCCCAGATCAATTTGAAGAGCGCAGATCTGTGACTTGTTTGTAGTGATGTATTTGTTTCATATTGCGGAAAGGATTTCCCCAAATTTTCTAGCTACTTCTCATTAAGGGACATGACCTATAAAGCCAACTTTTAGTAAGAACGAGTATATGGTACACCACTAATTTCAGGCAACTTGATAGCGTATTTGTTTTAGGAATAGTTGATGTCAACATAGAGTTGGTATGGATAATTGGTTGGTAAATTACTTTTGCGTTTTTATGACTATCACTTCTATATAACAACTATTACAGCCTGATGGTTGCTAAAACATGAACTTGTGACCTTATATTCAACAAAAATAACCTTGAAAAGGTGTATAACCAAAAATCTGGAATGCGTTTGTAGCATGGTCTGACAAATATTACACTTGTTCTTATTGTGATCCTTAGAAAGTGATTTTCCCCATAAGAAATGAAACAATTTTGAAGTTACGCTAGGTTTTCATTTCGAAATATATGGCTCAAGCATCGACAACTTTAGGCCCTTTAGGCCATCCAACGAAGTTATTAGAAAAATGTTGTAGATATTGTGTCAATGTACAATCTAATCTCCATTATTATATCTTAACCTATAAAATCCTTTTGATATTCAAAATTTAAACTCAGCAAATTTAATTTTACTTCTTTAGGAAAAACGTACCACTGTGGATGATGTTGATATGATTAATCACCAAGAAAGGAAAATCAAAGAAAAAATTACAAATTCTCATGGAAAGCAACACATATCTCGAGTCTCAACTTGTAGCTAGAGATAGAACAATTGTTGAGTTACAAGATAAGATTTTGGCCAGTGTTGAACTGCTAAAAAAGTTTCGTCTAGAAAACAAGAACTTAAAGGTAGAGCTTCAGAAGGCTTTGAGAGCCCGAGATTCACCTCTACCATACTTTATTTGTCCGATCCAAGAGGTACTGTTACTTTTCTTTAAAATGTTAATTTGATTTTCATTTATAATCAATACATAAAGAATTTATATATTCTCTTTTGGTTTGAATTTGTAGGAGGTAATGCAATCCCCCATCACTGCTGCTGATGGGTTTACATACAAAGAAGCAGCCATAAGAGCTTGGTTGGATGGTGGGCAAGAGACTTCGCCAATGATGAACCTGTCACTTGAGCATCAGAATCTCGTGCCAAATCCTGCCTTAAGATCAGCTATTCAAGAGTGGATGGAGTCCTCAGCCTAACTGTGCTACAGAGGTTTGTCACCTTCGTTGTTACTACTTTTGCTTTTATCTTACATACAACGAGATAGATATTCATTCATCTATTTGATACATTAAAGTTAGAGAAAATCCTGTGGACAAATTGTATACTAAGTTGAAACTTTTTAAGGCTAAGTTACTCTATCTCTTTTTCTCTCTATATCTAGTATAAATTCAAGTGTACATATCCTTTTACTGATCAATTGACAGTAGCATGTAAGAATGTTCATGAAACAATAATTGGAATGGGAACTGATAAATCAGTTGAGCAGATGTCAGGCCAAGAAAAAGATGATCAATAAGTTCTTATATCCTTAGCTTCAAGAAACTGAATTTTTGGTGACTGTAATGATTTTCCAATTTTTACCATTTGGCAAGAGGTTGCATCTCATGGGTAAAAATCATAACTTGGTTCGAATTAAATAGATTAAGCAAACTAGACACTGAAATAAGAAATTGTGAAGGTCAAAAAGATCTACTTTATTTCATCTTTTGTGTTTGTTTAGGATTTTTTAAGGTAATTCTATGGCTTGTTGATAGGCTTGGGGTGTGTATATAAAAGCAATCTCTGCCTCAAGTTTTAAATTTGTAACTAAATATCTCACACACAACTACAAGTCTACAGGTTATGTTTGAGTATAGGGTATTAAGGGTTGATCTCTCGGGAAAGATTGATCAATTGTCGACACTATTCGAACTCCTTTATAATTTAGACGCTCATAAATGCAAGTCAAGTAAATCTAAGCTACAAACATAGGAAAATGTGAAGTGAAAACTACAATAGAAAGCTCCTAGGGAATGGGATTCCTAGCCACTCTTAGCTAGCAAGATTACTTGGGAAATTGAACACTACTACCAGTTAGTTATGCCATAATTTCCTTATGTATGTGAAACCTACTCTCGTACTGAATCACCTATACTTATACCTACTCTCGTGGTTATGAAATTAGTTACAAGTTCATGAACTTCTATGAAATTACTTTAAAACAAGCTATAAAGGTGTACCTTCACTTTCATGAGCGTACTATATAAGTTTAGCACTTCCTTGAACTAATATTGATTTGCAACCATCATTGATAATCCAATATCTTCACATAATCACAACTAATGGCTAGCTAATCATGATTGTAAGAACAAAAAGGGCTAAATAACTAACTCAAAGCAATAGCATCACCCTTCCAAACAAATCTCACAAATAAATCATAGCAGGTTCATCCAACCCAAGGCATGAAACTTTAACTAAACATAAAGCAAATGAAAATATAATCCAATCTTGTATTAAAACTAACAAAGGAATCAAATACAAGAGTTAAACTGTTAGGAGATATCAAACCCTCGTCACTAGAGCTCAACTTCTCCATCTTCATCTCTCTTTGCTTCCTTGTTGAGCTAATACAAGAATTGAAGAACAACCCACTAATTCTAAATTGATCCTACACTAATCTAACCTAGGCTAGAAAAACTAAGGATTTCTAGTTTTAGATCTACATTTTGATGGTGTTTCCCCCCTTTTTTCTCTACAAAATTCGTCCAACAGGAGTCCCTTTTATAGGGAAAAGGAAAAGCTCGATTATGGTGCAATTGTGCAAGTTACGCCGCTATTCTGACTCGAATTCGGTTGACAATCCGTGCATTGATTGTTGGCCAGATTTCTCCCCTGTTTCTACTGAATTAGCTCTTATGCAAAACATAAAATATATCCCTTTGAGATGGCTTTCCAATGATTCAAGAATCAAGTCATTTTGAGATCTGTGAACTGAGTTATTGCCCAAATACTAATGACTAGTCAGAAAGCATTGTCGAAGAAAAGGGCTTCAGTAATTTGGACTTTTGGCTATGAAAACGTAATGCCTTCATAGGAATTGTAGTCCTTCCTCTTAGCTTTAAAATGGTTAAAGAAGCATCTCAATCCAAGTTTTGTAGCTCAAGTTATAGCCAAGTACCAAAATATATAATTACTAAGAATGCTTTTCTTCTTATTTCGTGCTTGCATTTCATCCTTTGGTCCTTCATGTCACATGATTTTCACTTCAAATCATCAAAAATCATGCAAGTATCTTCTCACTTCCCTTCAAGTGATGATTGAATTATCAAAATCCATAAAAAAACATGAAATTTGAGCACTTAAGTCCGTAGAAATGCAAATTTTCCTACTTCACCACAAAATGCAAAACTTAACTAAAAACCTAACTATTTGACTCAAATTTAAATAAATACACATAAACAACCATATACAAATATGCAAAACAAGCACTTATCACTAGTTTTCAAATTACTTTAAGAAAGAGGATTATAGGGAAGAATTTTATTCTTTCACCTATAATTCTCCAAATAAAACTATGAGCAACATGTTCATAGCAAGTTATCACATTTATGTTCTTTTCTATTCCAAGTAGGTTAGAGCTTAATTTAGATGAGTTTTAGTATTATTTTATCTTTACTTGATGTACTATTTGTACAATCTCTCGTAATTAAGTTCTACCACTGTTTCACCTTATTTTTTGCTTCTAAATCATGCATATTTTGTTGAATACCTGAGTTCAATCATGATAATACTACTTGACTATACTTAGGCTACACCTCCTAAGCTTTTTGTTTTATGATTTCTGTTGGCAAAAAATAAGGTCATTGATTACCTGTGCATTTTATGTTGCTTGGTTGTGGTCTTATGACTAAATCTTCATTCATGCCATAGGCCAAAAGGAGACCTTCACCCTTCAAGGATCCACAATTCAACAATTCTTTGGAGTCTTTGTCCATAGTAAGGCCAAGATGATAAAAAGAGCATATGTTAATATTAAGACCTCCCATTTGTGACTTTTTGTATCACCATGTGAAGACTACAACTTGGCAGATTATGATTACTACAACCAATGGCTTTACATTGTAAACCAAGTTTGCAAGTTTTGCTTTTCTGTATGTTGACTCTGCTAATAACTTCATAGCACTATCAGAGCCTTACAACAACACTGACCATATTTGAAAACTACATTAATTTGGGCATCCTCATTCAACATTGTGAAATGGGACTTTATGTTTCTTGTTCTTGAGGTTATTGAGAGAAAGTGTGTGTATGTGTGTGTTCATGCTCACATGCATGTGGTTTTTCTTTCAAAGAAATTGTGTGATTACACCAAAGTTCTTTCTCATTATGAATGGCTCCTATGATGGTTATTTTCTAAACCAGAGAGAGATCATGTTCCTCACACTTGGCTCTATTTGATAATTCAATTCAGCACCTAAATTTAATGGATTTAGATCTTAACATATTCAGACCATTTGATAATAAAAAATTAAAATCTAAATTAATTAAGTAGCACTGAATTTCCTAGGGAAAATTTGCTCCAAAATTAAGTCATAAGATATTTACTTATTATTGAATATGATATGCACTCAAATGTATTAGATTTAATACTTAATAATTTAATAATTTAATGAATTTAGTTTTTAGATTTCAAATTTCAGACTTCACTTTGTTCCAGCACACCCTTAGTTTTAATTAGTTATTGAAGAATACTCTCAAGCTTCTTGAGGCAAACATTTAGTTTATAGTATATAAATATCATCCAAGGTGTGCAGAGCTAAGAATTTCACATTCCTTTCCTGATGATTTTTTCCATCATGTGTGCAGCTTCTAAAAAATCCTTGCAGCTTATCAAGTCTACATTAGATGTGTTGTGAGGATTCGAAAATTTCATTATTTTAAAATCCCTAATTTTGGCTAAAATAATTATTTATTTGGATTTTTGCCACGAATAATATTTTCTAGCCTATTAGACCTAAGTACATGATTTTATAGTTCGTTATATTTCTAAAGTGTCTCATTTTAAAAATAATAAAATAAAAACATAGATAAATAAACAAGTATTTTCTTATAAGCCTATTTAGCGAAAAAGTGGAAACGTGTCTAAAAACTTTAGCCAATTGGAATTACAATAAGCTAAAAATTTAAGACATATACAATGGACCTAAAATAGACAATTTTAGGTTTAAACACACAAGTAATAACTAGTGGTACGATCGTTATAAGAATTTTTCAAAGGTTTTAATTTTTATTACGCTTAAATTAGAAATACGTGTTTTCACGTGCGCGCTTAATTGAGGGACTTTGGACCATTATTTTGGGACAATTAAGAATGAATAATATTTATATGAATGTAAGGACCCTAGAGGTTTAGTGCACTAGTGCAACAAACGTAAGAGAAATCGGGTACAAAATGCGCGCGTAGGGTACTAGTTAAAATTGATTTGACGTATCAAAGGATTTGACGTCAAGCGTCTTTTGTACGCAAAGGCTACAGAGCCGAAATTCATTTCCTTTTCTCTGCTACAATGGCCGGCTAGACTGCAGCAAAGGAACAACCAAAGTCACCATTTCTTTTCTTCTAAAACTCAACCAAATTCCTACCAAAACTTCCATAGATTCTCACCAAACTTCACATTCGTTTAGCTTTTCACTTGGACAACAACATAGGCTGAAAAAGGGAGGAGCTTTCACGGTTTCTTCAAGCTTCAAAGGACCGAAAATTCTGTTCAAACCAACCATCAAAGTAGGTAACAATCTAACACCTTCAACTTGTCTTATGGGAGTTGATTTACGCATTTGAGTTGGAATCTTTACTTTAGTAGCTTGGATTGTTGGAAATGTGGGCTCTATGAACTCCCACTTTGGGTTGATGGCTGTGATGATGTTTGATGATGGCTTATTTGCTGAATTAGATCTTAAGGAAGTAGATTAAAGGTGCATTCTTGACAGAAACGTTGATGGACTCTTGAAGCGAAAAGTTCCCATTTTACCCCTGCTCTGTTCGGTCACTTTACTGCAGATAATTGAGGATTTAAAGGCTTGATTATGTTGTTTACATGTTGTAGAAGTTGTGTCCAAAATTTTGTTGAAAAATATTGAGTTTTGGTTGCTCAAACGAATTTATTTCAAAAACTAGTAAACTGGAAAACGGTTTCGCCGTAATCCAGACCAGTGG